AGCCAGAAGTTGGAAACAACTTGAAGGCACACAACAACAACATGCTGGTTTTGGACTACAACGCCCATAATCCATGGCTGGAGGACTATGGGAATTGTAGTCCCAATAAAGCAACTTTTCCCAGCTTCATGAAATTGCCAAATTTGCTGTAAGACTTCCTTGCATGGAATCTAAGCAACTGCCTTCATATCTCCATAAAATGAAAAAAGTGAATACAGCAAATGCAACTCTGTATTGCCACCTGCTGGTCAAATCTTTGCTGGCATGTTTCTTCATTGATGGGCAGGCTCTTAATTCAAGGTTGGAGAAGTTCTGCCTTTTGGACTCCAACTCCCAGAATCCGCAGAACAGAATTTCTAGAACTCTGGCCACAGCAACCCATGAAAAAGTAACTTTTCTCTCCAACTCTGTTTGTAATAAGGGCTTTTCTCTACTGCTGTTTTCAGCTGCATCTGCACTGCAGAACTGATGCAGTTTGACACCACTCTAACCGCCATGGCTCCATATTCATTAGAGCCCTGGGATTTGTAGCTTCTTGTGGCACCAGAACTCTCTGACAGGAACGGCTAACTATCTCAGAAAAGAACAAATCCCAGAATTCCACAGCATTGAGCCAAGGCAGTTCAGGCAGTGTCAAACTGCATTAATTCTGCAGTGTAGATGCAGCCTTCATTTTAGGTGCTAGTTAGAGCCAGTGTGGTGTAGTGGTTTGAGCACTGGACTACAACTCTGGAGACCAGGTTTCAAATCCCTGCTCAGTCAGGCAAGTCACATTCTCTGAGCCTCAAAGGATGGCAATGGTAAATGCCCTCGGACGAAACATGCCAAGAAAACCCCATGATATGTTAGCCTTAGGATCACTATAGGTTCAATCATGTCTACAGTTCAACCGTGTCTGGAGTGACATACCAATTCCCACCCTGCTGTAGCTCCTCTGCTACAAATAACAAGCATGGCCCAAATGAACTATAAAGACCGGGAAGGCAGCCGCCCGCCCGCCCGCCCACCCCCAGCATTCTGAGTCCAGCTTGGCCATGGCCGCACAGGACCCAGAACGCAGCCACCTGCTCCCTTGGGGTAATACCCCACCGGGTGATACCCCCCTCTAAGGTGTCACCCAGTGTGGGCTGCACCACTGCATAGAATCATACAGTCATAGGTTCAAAGAGACCGCAAGGGCCATCCAGTCCAACCCTTTTGCCATGCAGGAACTCTCAATCAAAGCATCCCAGACAGATAAGATGGCCATCCAGCCTCTGCTTAAAATCCTCCAAAGAAGGAGACCACCACCCTCCGAGGGGATGTGTTCCACTGTCGAACAGCCCTTACTGTCAGGAAGTTCCTCCTATTATTTAGGTGGAATCTCTTCTCTTGCAATTAGCATCCATTCCTCCGTCTCCGGAGCAGCAGAAAACAAGCTTGCTCCATCCTCAATGTGACAGCCCTTCAAATATTTAAACAAGGCCATCGTATCACCTCTTAACCTTCCCCCCTCTAGTGATGCCACTGGTTGCAGGTGCGCATTTTAAAAGGACAGATCCAGCGTATCTGAGCAGTTGGGGTGGCAATGCGAGAAAGTGAAAGTGTGATGGATGGATGTAAGTACAACACACACAAGCCAGACAGTCCAAGAGGAGAGGTGAAGGAGGCATGATTGTGCTTTGCAAATGTTTTACTGGGCCCACCGATGCTCCAATGCCCTGTACTGGCAGAGCGTTGCAGGTGTGACTGTGTGCCTGATCAAACAGGCAGCCATCCAATGGGATGGCATCTTAGAAAGCAGGCAGTCACCGGCAGTGTGTTTGTGCGACGGTGTGCATGCATCGTGGGGAGGTGACCAAAACAGAATTACCCAGTGGCACAGCTTAATGTTGCACTGTGCAGTTGGGCTGTGCACATTTGGTTTGGTTTGCCTTGGGAGCGGCCACTGAGGACAGTGGGGTTTCAACCCATTTCTGGTAAATCCAGGATGGAAACGCTTTTTCCTGCCCATCTGTTCCAGGCATATGATTCCATCATCATTTCCCCCCCCCCCAACACACACACACTCCTGTTTAACATCTTTGCCTGATGAAGAAGCCAGTGGAGCTTCCAAAGCATGCATCATGTATTTTGTGCATTTTGGGTGGCCCAATAAAGGTGTCCCTGTTTTGTGGGTTTGGGAAGTTATTGCACTTTGCTGTATGGTCAATATGTCTACCCCTGGATATGTCCACTGTTCAGTTTGTGGTCAACTAAGACCAAAACACACTTTTAATGAATCAACTTGGCAATCTTTGTCCTGATGTCAAAAGCCCTGGCTTCTTCACTGCCCTATAACAAAAAGCATGGGAAATGTATTGTGTTTTCTCCTCCTTCTCCCCTCCACCTTTGCCTATGCACACATGGAAATCAAAAGGGATATAAAACAGTATATATTTATTTCAAAACTGCATATTGAAAATACACATTTTCTCCACCACCACCCCTCCCAATCACGTACATGGTTACAAAACAGACAAACCCTTGTGTGCTCCCAATGTCCAGACAGCCAGACTGGGCTGACAGACCAAAGAAACGTTCCAGTTGGTCATCTAATGTTCATCACAAAAACCCTGGCCTAGGAGGATGGCAAAAGTCACTTTATCCATCCAATCTGTGCGGCACTCAGCACAAACACCAAGCAAAAAATTAAATAAATGGCAGACTGCTGTATAAAAATGCATATTCCCATACTGTCCCACTTCTTGGATTGACATCGAAAGCCAGGATCCTTTTGGTGCTACTGTGCCGGTAGTTGTAAACCCCACACACACACCCCGAGTTGTGCAGCGGTGCCAAGTCTTTGCCCAAGACAAAATCAACCGCCTCTGAGCAGGTGGTTTCTCCAAGGCCTTTTAGCCTTTATAGCTATTATAACGTTTCCCCTCCGCTGTCTACACAGCAGCATGACGTAAGGGTTTGAGCACTGGACTATGACTCCAGAGGCCAGGGTTCAATTCACACTCAGCCATGGACACCCCTGGGTGATCTTGGGCAAGTCACACTCTCTCAGCCTTAGAGGATAACAGTGGTAAAACCCCTCTGAAGAAACCTGCCAAGAAAACCCCATGAAACGTTTGCCTTAGAGTGGCCGTAAGTCAGAAACAACTTAAAGGCACACAATAACAGCAGCCGCCTGCAGAACAGACCAAAATGACTCTGCACAGAAACGCCTCAAGCCCTTTCATACACCCAGCTACCAATACTTCCAGTCCACTTTAACTGTCATGGCAACATACTATAAAGTGGTGGTTCCCACCCTTTGGTCCTCCAGATGTTTTGGACTTCACCTCCCT